TCACTCATCTATGCCAAGAAATTTGGAAGACAACTACCTGGACAACTGACTGAAGAGATCCATGTGTGTTCCCATTCCAAAGAGAGGTTACCTAACAGAAAGCGATAATCATCAGACAGTATCATTGATATCCCATACGAGTAAAGTTTTACTAAAGGTAATCCCAAAACAGCTGCAACCATACATTGACAGAGAACCTCCAGAGGTTCAAGCCAGATTTAAAAGAGGATGTGGAACGAGGAATGTTATTGCCGATGTCAGATGGATCTTGGCTGAAAGAAGAGAATACCAGAAGGATGTTTTATTGACTATGCAACAAAGGCTTTTAACTGTGTGGATCACGGACAACATTGAGAAGTATGAGTATTCCAGAACACATAATTGTGTTCGTGAGAAACCTGCACACAGACCAAGAGGCAATTGTTCGACTACAACAAGGGGATGCTGAATGGTTTAAAATCAGGAGAGCTGTGCATCAGGGTTGTATCCTTTCACCATATTTATTCCATCTGTATGCTGAGCAAATAATCTAAGAAACTGTTTTATATCAAGAACATGGCATCAGGATTGGAGGGAGATTCACTTAACAACCCGTGATATGCATAAGACACAACTTTGTTTGCTAAAAGTGAAGAGGACTTAAAATTATTGATGAAGATCAAAGACCACAGCCTTCTATATGCGTTGTATCTCAACACAAAGGAAAAAATCCTGACAACTGGACCAATTAAAAGATCATGATAAATGGAGAAAAAACTGAAGTTGTCAAAGACTTCATTTTGCTTGGGTTCACAATCAATATTCACAGAAGAAGTCTAGAAATCAAATGACATAACAGATCAGGCAAATCTGCTGCACAGTGTCTCTTTAAAGTGCTGAAGAAAAAAGATGTCAGTTTGAGGACCTGACCAAGCCATGGTATTTTCAACTGCCTTATATGTGTCTGAAAGTTGGACAGTGAACCAGAAAGACCACAGAAGAATTGATGCATTTGAGTTACGGTGTTGAGGAATATTAAAATATCACGGACTACCAGAACAACAAACAAATCTGCGTTAGAAAAGTCATACTTCAGACATGGTATCAGGAGGCGCCAGTCCCTGGAGAAGGACATCAAGCTTGGTAAAATGGAGGGTCAGCAAAAAAGAGGAAGACCCCCAAGGAGATGGATTGACACAGTGGCAGCAGCAATGGGCTGAGTGTTAACAATTGTGAGGATAGCACAGGACAGGACAGTGTTTTGTTCTATTGTGTATTGGGTCGCTGTGAGTTGGAACCAACTTGATGGCACCTAACAAAAAGAAACCATAGTTCAGCAAAGAACTTAATATAATCATTATAAAATCTAGCATCAAGCCAACAAAAATTATGTCTGATGGGAAAAGAGAAGGGAGGTATATAAAAATGTGTGTATCTTCTGTGGGTTTAATGTTTTAAAATGCATTGAATGTATGTGGTTTAAAATGATAAAAGCAAAGACTAGAAGAAAATACTACCTCTGACAATGTGGAGCAGAGGGTGGGAAAAGCAGGGTATCTGTTTGATAGATCAGGATTTACATTCTGGACATAAATTGTATCCAAGTTAAATTATGAAAACAAAGTTGCATAATAAAGTCATGGTCTAGATGTTTATCAACACATAAATGGATAAACAAAATGTGGTGTATATATACAATGGAATATTATTCAGCCATAAACAGCAATGAATTCCTGACACAGACTTCAACACAGATAAACCTTGAAAACATGCTGAGTGAAATAAGTCAGTTGCGAAAGAACCAGTACTGTATGATTCCACTTACATGAAATCGACCAGAAATCATTCGTGGTTGCCAGGGATGTAAATGAAGACTCCTGGTGTGATGCTACAGGATAAGCTCTGGAGTGCCAACCACAAAGTCAGCAGTTCAATCCCACCAGCCGCCACATGGAAACCCTATACAGGGTCACTATGAATTGGAACTGACTCGACGGCACTTAACAGTTATCATTATTTTTAAGTACTGTCGAGTTGGTTCTGACTCATAGCAATCCTGTATAGGGTTTTCAAACTGCGGCTAGTGGATTTGAACCACTAACCTTGTGGTTGGCACTTTAGTGCTTATTCTGCAGTACCATACCAATACTCCTAGGGATGTAATGTTAGGTGCCGTTGAGTCGGTTCCGACCCATAGCGACTCTATATAGGTCTTCCAAGGAGTGGCTGGTGAGCTTGAATCGCTGACCTCACAGTTCAAATTGACTTTGCAGCCCAGCTTATTAACCTACAGAGCCACACCAGGACTCCAGGGATGTAACAGACTAAAGTTTATTAGTGATTACCAGGGATGGGGTAGTCCTGGTGTGGTGCTTGGTGGGCCATCATCTTAGAACGTGTCATCAGAATCATTGCCAGAGGAAAGAAAGTTAAACCTTATCGTGGTCCCCACAACATCATGAACCAATGTTGTACCTCCAAGTCATGGTACTCTATTTGAAAGACATCATTTGAGATCCTTAAAGGTAAACCAGATGCTCTTAGAGGATTTATTGTACATGACTGGGAAACACAAGTATTTTAACTGAATGTTTGCAACCAAAGTGTCAGTTTCAGAAACTTTATTAAGTTAAAAAAATTTTCACACTTGTGATAGACAGAGACAGTTGTGACACTTTCGAGTAGAGGTTTAGGGTTTGGCGGCTGGCTTAGAAGTCGTGCGGCTTTAATGTTTTTTGGTTACGTGCTTAAAGAAATAGCCTTCCTGGTCTAGGGCTGGAAGGATTGATCCATCCTCATCCTTCAGAAGAAAAGAGATACTGTTATACCCCCAGGTTTCTCAGGGCTGTGAATGACCCAGTTTGATGCCTTCACTTCTGTTGTGGATTAGAATTGGCTCTAAATTGGCCTCAAACTTCTCTCCAAAGAGGGATTGGAGGAGGTGAGAACTAAAACCCTTTGCTTGTTTTGAGGCAGAAAACATGAGCCTTACACTGAGTGATGGTGGAATTATGACTTGGAGACCAGTAATCTCAGATGCTCATTGTTATTCTGGATCTTCTATGCTTTGACAGCATCCTCTTGGGCCAAAAATCAAGATTAAAAATGCAGTGGCAGTTGATGTCAATTCAGAGTGACCCCATGTGTGTTACAGTAGAACCCAAGTCCGTAGGGTCTGAAAGTGACTGATTTTTCAGAACTAGATCACCAGGCCTTTCTTCCTGGTCTTAGTCTGGAAGCTCCGCTGAAACCTGTTCAGCATCGTAGCAACGCACACGCTTCTGCTGACAGATAGGTGGGGGCTGTGCTTGAGATGCACTGGTCAGGAATTGAACCCGCAAGGATTAGAGAATTCTGCTACTAAATCAGTCACTGTCCCCCAGGAAACTAAGATTATCCACTGCCATCGAGTTGATTCCAACTCATAGCAACCCTGTATGTAGGACAGAGTAGAACTGCCCCATGGGGTTTCCAAGGCTGCAAATTTTTTTTAGAAGCCTACTGCCACATCTTTTTCTCTTGGAAAGGTTGGTGGGTTTGAACTGCTAAGTTTTCAGTTATCAGCCAACTCTTAAACCACTGTAACAATAAATCTCCTTAATAACCCACGATTATTGTTGTTAAGTGCCGCCAAGTCGGTTCCAACTCACAGCAACCCTGTATAGGGTCTCCAAGGAGTGGCTGGTGAGTTTTCAACAGCCAACCTTGTGGTTTAAACCTATAGGGCCACACTAAGCCTCTTAACCCAAGATTGTTGTTGCTGTTAAATGCCGTTGAGTCGGTTCTGACTCATAGCAATCCTGTACAGAGTTTCTGAGGAGCGACTAGTGAGCTTGAACCACCGACCCTGTGGTTCAAATCGACCTTGTGGTCCAGCACATTAACCCACAGCACCACACCAGGACTTCAACCCAAGATTGTTGTTGTGAAGTGCTTTCAAGTTGATTTTGACTCATAGTGACCCTGTATAGGGTTTCTGAGGAGCCGCTGGTGAGCTTGAACCTCTGACCTTGCAGTTCAAACGGCTTTGCAGTCTGGCGCATTAATCCACAGCGCCACACCAGGACTCCAATTAGTAGCAACCACCAACCTGTTTCTGGCTCTGGATTTTGCTAACGATTTAGGGTTTACCCCGAGCATCAGCAAACCCCGACTCTTGTGTGTCCACTACCAGGCTGCTTACAAACTCAGAGCTTGTGTTCCTCAAGTGAACAAGGTTTAAAGCCATCAGACCATTATTCCCTTGCCCTGTTCCTATAGAAAACAGAAATGCAGTTGGTGGAACCTACCCTAAACCACTGCATGCTAGAAAGAGCCCAAACCATCCAGGGTTAGCCAGGATTAGCATTCATTCAAGCAGGGAATTTTTCTATGAGTTTTTGAAGTCCCTTCCTGTACTCTGGGTGAAGCATTGGAGCAGGAGATTAACACAGGGATTTCAATAAGGTCTTTCCATAACTCAGACTTTTCAGAGAGATAAGTAAATTACTGCCATAGCACGATCAGCAGCAAGTGACTCCTGTAAAGATTCACCCCCTTGTCTGTTTGCCTTTTCTTTTTTAGGGGGACAGGGAAGGGGAGTAAAGGCAGCTGTGGCATCGGATCTTCTCCTTGGCTCCTTTTTTCACTCCTGCCATTCCAAATCAGGTGGGCAAAATGAAGTTCTAAACTACAGGCAGCAAGACAAGCTCCTTGGGGACTAGGAAGCTTCCAGAAACAGCTACTCAAAGGAAACCCCATACAATATGACTGCTGTTGAGTAGACCCCTCAACCTACAGTAAGCGACCCAAGGCAAAATGGGGTGGGAATCAACCTCAAGTCTCCTGTGCAGAAGATGAGAATTCTCCCTCTGAACCACCCAACGCCTCATCTACAACAGAGTAGAGAGAAATGGAGGCCTAAGTTTGGAGGGTGGGTCTACCTGCCCTCCCAGCTGCTAGGTAGGTACCGGACAGGTCATCACCTGCTGATCAGACTACCAAAAGGTGTGAGCACCCTTTTCTATAATCAAGTCACTTACCTCCAAAAGGTGGTGCTCAACGATGTTCAAAGCTACCTGGCTAACATGATGGTTCTCATGAAGTTGCAGCGCCTCGATTTTATCAATCGCACCGAGATCTTCCAGCAGAATACAGACCTTCTCCTTCTCACAAAGGTTCTCTGCTACCTGTGAGCCAAAGAAGAGGAATGAGGCTCTGGGTAAGAGCTCTGATGAGAGGCTCTGTCTGCTCTCAACGCAGCTACCAGCTGCCACTGAGTCTGCCCCGTGCATGTCAGGGTAGAACTGTGCTTCATAGGACTTTTTATAAAGTAGGAAGCCAGACCTTTCTTCTACAGTGTCGCTGGGTGAACTCAAACCTCCAGCCTTCGAGTGAGCAACCAAGCACCCCTCCTTCACCCCTACCCCATGGCCCTAATGGGAGTTATCCCTTCATCAGTGGAATGCAACCAAAGACTTCATTCATACTAGGAAATAGATGCTGTAGTATTCCTGAATGAAAAACCCCAGTTTTCACTTTGCCCAGGGTGATTTTAAATTACACAATTTCCTACCCCTCTTGGATATTTATGTTATAGACATGTAGGTTTACTTTCATTATACCAAACACAGGATTTCTCAACTATCACCTATGTGAGATGGTTTCCTTTGCTGAATAAGTGGCCCTCCATAAACATGTCATTATCACAATCTCTGAGTGGCACAAAGCAATCAAGCATTTGACTACAAGCTGAAAAGTTTGGTGGTGATTCAAAGCCACCCTGAGGTGCCTTAGAAGGCAGGCCTGATGATCTGCTTTTGCAAGGTCACAGCCTTGAAAACCTTATGGAGTTCTCTACACACATGAGGTTGCCACCAGTCAGACACGTCAATGACCTCTCCTACTGACTGGAAGTTCTCACTACAGTTGGGAAGAAGTTGAATGAGTGTTTTGCACATGCAGGTGCTCTGGCCAGCCCTGCACGTCCCAGAGTCCTTATCAGACAAGGAATCCTTTGTTAACAGAGGCCACGGCACAGCACAGAATGAAGTCTCTGGAAGCAGGTAATGGGATGGACTCATTGGATTACTCATTCAGAGCTGTTTATTCACTCAGACATTTGTACATATACAGACAGTCCCCTGTGTCTAAGAATTTGTAGGTAGGTCAGAACAGTGCACAGAGTTCTTTTTTAGTCTGACTTTAGTCCACAAAAAAGTTCAAAGTCTTTTCAGTGATTTAAAAGCCACACATTCTACAAGTGAAGGTGATGTTATATTGTTAAGTTTCATCGAGTGGGTTCTAACTCATAGTGACCCTGTGTAGTAAAGGTGAGAGTCCTGTTGTGGCACTGTAGTAATCATTTGACTGTTAATCACAAGGTCAGTAGCTCAAACTCACCAGCCACTCCTTGGGAATCCTATACAGTGTTGCTATGAATCAGAAGTGACTAGACCGCATTTAACAACAGCATAGTAAAGGTGACTTGTTAAGTGCTGTCAAGTTGGTGCTAACTCATAGTGACCCCGTGTATATATATGGCTTCCAAGGAGCAGTTGATGGGTTTGAGCTGCCAACTTTGTGGTTTGCAGTCCAGTGCTTATCCTACAGCGCCACACCAGGAAAATCCATTAAAGGTGATTGTTGTTAAGTGCTGTCGAGTTGGTTCCGACTTGTAGTGAGTGACTTGTAGTGAGTGCTTCCCAGGAACAGAAGTTTGAACCTCCAGTCTTGCAGCTCAAATAGACTTTGCAGTCCAGCGAAGGGTTGCTTCAATCATTTCAAAGTGAGGGAAAGTTAATATAACATTAAGGGAGACTGAAGAAGAATGCACACATTTGAATGACGGTGTTGGTGAAGAACGTTGAATCCACCATGGACTGCCATAAGAACAAAGAAATCGATCTCAGAAGAATGACAGCCAGGATGCCCTTAGAAGCAAGGATGGCAAGACTTCATTTCACATACTGTGGACATGTTATCAGGAGGGACCAGTCCCTGGAAAAGGACATCATGCTTGGTACAGCAGAAGGGAAGCAAAAAAGAGAAGACCCTCAGTGAGACGGATTGAGGTGGTGGCTGCAACACTGGGCTCGAACACAGCAGTTGTGAGGATGGCGCAGGACTGGGCAGTATTTCCTTCTGTTGTACCTGCGGTCTCCAAGTTGGAACGGACTCGATAGCATCTACCAACAACAGAGGGTAAAAGCAGGAGTTGCCCATTAAGTTGGACATTTGTAACCTGGGGTCTGCCTGTACTTTGGGTGAAGCACACAAAACTAGATCCACAGAGTGGTTTAGATAAGATCTTTTCGTTACTCTGACTACTGGGGTCAGATCAGTATATACTTGGAGTCCTGGTGTGGCACTGTGGGCTAATGCACTGGACTGTCAAGTCAGTTTGAACCTCAAGGTTGGCGATTCAAGCTCACCAGCTGCTCCTTGGAAACCCTATGCAGGGTAGCAATGAACAAGCTATGTATTGGGGAGACACAAAGAGCTGCATGCAGGAGGTGGTCCCCATAGCAGGAGGGCTTCAGAGGCTGGTGGTGCATGAACCACCAGAAAGGGAGGAAAACATGAAAACTCAGGAAGAAAAGGGATGGTGTGTCTTCAGACTGGGAGTCTGTGGGTCAGAGAGCTCGTAAGGACAGATCCAACAGGGGGTTCCTGTAACAAGACTTCATCTTCTCCAGGCTTAGCAAGTATTTAGGGCGCAGTCTCGTGGGATGTGGAAAACAGGCTGGCTCTTCTACTGGAAATGAATCCACGAAACTCACTACCATCAGGTCAATTCCAATTCATAGCAAATGTACAGCACAGAGTGGATCTATCCCATAAGGTTTCCAAGATGGCCGCCTTTACACAAGCAGACTGCAACATCTGCTGCCCACTGAGCCATTGGTGGGTTCAAACACAACCTTTCAGTTAGCAGCAGAATACTTTAACCACTATGTTACCAGAGCTCCTTTTATATTGTAAAGTAGCTAAAAATCTGCTTCTTTGGGCTATTTATCAAACAGCTGGATGTGTACAAATCTGACTTTGGCACAGGTGGGCTGTTTTGGGCTAACAGGCTTGGTAGTTTGCCATTAAGTCTATAACTCGGACCTAATACATAGAAGCTAAATTTGACTCATTCATGTAATATCCTCCCATTCCATTTGTAGATCTGAAATGAGCCATTGACTGGGGGTAAAGAGATTGAGGCAGGAGCCACAATTCTCAGCCTCAAAGAAAATGGAGATTGTGGGCAATGAGAAAGGAAGACAGTAGAATCTCTGCATAGGATCTTGCACCTTGACAGAAAAGAGAATGACCCAGAAGTTGTTTCAAAGAACCTCACCAGCTCTCTGCTGCCCACCCTCAAGCAATCTCCTATCCCACCCAGATCTTTCCAACCTGACGTTCCATGTGCCTTTCTCAGATATGGGAGTCCTCCCTAGTCAATCAAATGAGATTTACCTGGGCTTTCCCAAGATCAAATTCCAAGGGTTTAATCCAACGATTTCCATTGGGCAAATCTGTGGCAAAACATTTCTTTAAAATTTTAAGAAGCAAAGTATCACTAACTAAGGTTTATATGACCCAAGTTATGTGTTTTCAATTGTTTCATAAGCATTTAAAAGCTGGACAGTGCAAAAGGAAAGACTGAAGAATTACCACATCTGAATTGTAATATCTACCAAGAATATTGAATGCATACCATGGACTGCCAGAGAACTAACACATCGGTCTTATAAGTACAACCAGGATGCTTTTAAGAAGTGAGGATGAGAAGACTTATCATCCTTACTTTGGACGCATCAAGAGGGACCTATCACTAGAGAAGGACACCATGCTTGGTAAAGTAGATGGTCAGCAAAAAAAAAAAAGAAGAAGAAGACCCTCAATGAGGCGGATTGACACAGTGGCTGCGACAATGGACACGTGTTATCAATGATGGTGAGACTGGCACAGGACCAAGCAAAGCTTTGTTCTGTTAGCCATCCTAATGGCACTAATCGGAACCAACTGGACAGCACCAACAACAACTCAAAGAAACAGATGAAGCAAATGTAGTTATATTTCTAATACCAACAAGCATGCTTTAACAAACTTGTCTTATCCAACTTTGTCTATCAGCTGCATAATCTCTCTTCTCTGTGTGGTTGGCTCAGATGCTCAGCGTCTAATTGAGCTGTTTCAAGTCTGTTTTGGGCTCACATCAATTCTTTCCAAGCCATTTAGTTTAGAGAATGCTCAAAGTGGGCTTTTAGAAGTAGCTCCATGGTGTTACTTTGAAGCTCTTCAAATACATCAATCACATATAAAAGGACCTAAACCAAAAGAACTCAGCCAGCCTCCAAGATGGCGCTCAATGCTTCTTGCCTGCTGATGTTCCATCCCTTTGTAGTCCCCAACCACAGCGAACAGGTTGAGGTTGACCTATGTAACGAATGGGATATTGTTGAATGATAATGTGACCTCCAAGATGAGGTCAGAAGACATGATAGTTTCATCTTGTTCTCTTGTCTTACTTGGGGGAAGCCAGTTGCCATGAGGTGAGGACACGCAAGCAGCTTGATGGAGAAGTTCACATGGCAACAGTGAAGGGTGGTCAGGCACTTACCTGAGTGAGCCACTTTGGAGTTGATCCTCCAGCCTCAAACTTTCAGATGATGGTAGTCTTAGTGACATCTTAACCACAACCTCAGGAGGAAACCTGAGTCAGAACCATCCAGCTAAGCTGCCCCAATTCTTAACTCCAGAGCTGTGTGTTGTTGTTGTTGTTACTAAGTGACACTGAGTTGGTTCCAACTCATAGCAACCCTGTATAGGGTTACCAAGGATCCACTGGTGGGTTTGAACTACTGACTTTGTGGATAGCAGTCCAGTACTTATCCTACAGTGCTATACCAGGACTTGTATTAATGGCTCTAAGCTACTAAGGGGTAATTAGTTACACAGCATTATACAAGTACAACATAGTATTTAAATATTAATTTACCTGCTGTATTTCAGAAATAAGACTGTTATTATTAAACTGTGTCCCTCTAAAATGTGTGAGGAGTCCTGGGATGGTGCTGTAGTATAAGTATGGACTGCTAACTAAAAGGTCAGCAGTTCAAACCCACCAGCCACTGCTCAGAAGCCACTCCTAAGGCCGTTAGGAGTCGGAACAAGCTCAATGGCACTTAACAAACAAAATGTGTTGGAATACTAAACCCGGTACCTGTGGATGTGGTCCTGTTTGGGAACAGGGTTTTCTTTGTTGTGTTAGTTTGATCATACTCTAGTAAGGGCAGGTTCTAAAGCTAATCAGTTACAAAAGGTTAGACACACAGACACATGCACATATGGGGGAAGACTGATGCCACATGAGGAACATGACAGATCCAAGGAGCATGATAGGGTACCAACAAGCAAGAAATTGACGCTACCAAGATCCTGAATGTAAACCTGTTGGGAATACGGTTTTCTTAACGTTAATGAGGCCGTATCAGAGTAGGGTACGTCCTGAACTGAATCACTTCTGAGATCTCAGAAGCAGCTCAGATGTTTAGATAAGCACAATCAGAGTAAGACAAATGCCACATGAAGATTGCTGAAGAATGAAGGACTGTCCTCCCCACACCCACC